GGTGGTAGCATCAGAATCTCCTTGTCTCTACCGGGAGCTTCCCCAGCTGCCGTGGTGATGGTGACTTCGCCAGTCACAGGAGCTGCAGTAGTATCAACAATCTCATCGGTCACAGCAGCTGTGCTGACCGGAAGAGGGGACGTTATAGTAGTAGTAGGCTCAACAGGAGCACCGATCGTAGTCGTGACAGTCGCAGCCTCCGTAGCGACCTGGGTGGTAGCATCAGAGTCATCCTTGTCTCTACCGGGAGCCTCCCCAGGTGCCGTGCTGATGGTCACTTCGCCAGTCACTGGAGGTGCAGTAGTGACAGCCACCTCGTCGGTCACAGCGGGCGTACTGACCGGTTGAGGGGACGTCATGATGGTAGTAGGATCAGCAGGAGCATCGATCGTAGTAGTGCCAGCCGCAGTCTCGGTAGCGACCGAGGTGGTTGCATCAGAATCATCCTTGTCTCTTCCCGGAGCTTCCCCAGCTGCCGTGGTGATAGTCATCTCGTCAGTGACAGGAGCTGCAGTAGTGACAGCGGCCTCATCGGTCACAGCAGCTGTGCTGACCGGGAAAGGGGACGTTATAGTAGTAGTAAGCTCAACAGGAGCACCGATCGTAGTCGTGACAGTTGCAGCCTCCGTAGGGACCTTGGTGGTAGCAACAGAGTCATCCTTGTCTCTACCGGGAGCTTCCCCAGCTGCCGTGCTGATGATCACTTCGCCAGTCACAGGAGGTGCAGAAGTGACAGCCACCTCATCGGTCATAGCAGCTGTGCTGACCGGGAAAGGGGACGTTATAGTAGTAGTAGGCTCAACAGGAGCACCGATCGTAGTCGTGACAGTCGCAGCCTCCGTAGCGACCTGGGTGGTAGCATCAGAGTCATCCTTGTCTCTTCCCGGAGCTTCCCCAGCTGCCGTGGTGATAGTCACCTCGCCAGTCACAGGAGCCGCAGTAGTGACAGCGACCTCATCGGTCACAGCAGCTGTGCTGACCGGTAGAGGGGACGTCATAATAGTAGTAGGCTCAACAGAAGCACTGATCGTGGTAGCCACAGTCGCAGTCTCAGTAGCGATCGGGGTGGTAGCATCAGAATCATCCTTGTCTCTACCGGGAGCTTCCCCAGCTGCCGTGGTGATGGTGACTTCGCCAGTCACAGGAGCTGCAGTAGTATCAACAATCTCATCGGTCACAGCAGCTGTGCTGACCGGAAGAGGGGACGTTATAGTAGTAGTAGGCTCAACAGGAGCACCGATCGTAGTCGTGACAGTCGCAGCCTCCGTAGCGACCTGGGTGGTAGCATCAGAGTCATCCTTGTCTCTACCGGGAGCCTCCCCAGGTGCCGTGCTGATGGTCACTTCGCCAGTCACAGGAGGTGCAGTAGTGACAGCCACCTCGTCGGTCACAGCGGGCGTACTGACCGGTTGAGGGGACGTCATGATAGTAGTAGGATCAGCAGGAGCATCGATCGTAGTAGTGCCAGCCGCAGTCTCGGTAGCGACCGAGGTGGTTGCATCAGAATCATCCTTGTCTCTTCCCGGAGCTTCCCCAGCTGCCGTGGTGATAGTCATCTCGTCAGTGACAGGAGCTGCAGTAGTGACAGCGGCCTCATCGGTCACAGCAGCTGTGCTGACCGGAAAAGGGGACGTTATAGTAGTAGTAAGCTCAACAGGA